CGTCAATAAAGAATAGTTCTGTTTGGAAATTTTCATAAAATTGATAAAACGGTACATGAAAAAAAAGCCGACAAATTTGCGAACAAGTTCGTACGGGTCGTGCTTTAAAGTATTGTCATATATAATAATTTCATACAAATATATAAGATGTTGCCATACGCAGCGATTTTGTAGAAATAGAAAAGCAGAAATGTAAAAGGACCAACGTCAAAATTTTAACTCTTCGATTCGTTTTATTTCTTTTGGTAGTACTTTGCTGTTTCTGTAGTGCGGGTTCGTGTGTCCGTTAAGTAATTCATTTAGCTTTAATACAGAATTTTGTTGATTCATAAAGCGTTTGCAAACAGAAAACTCGTGTCCGTTAATAATATAGCTTAGTCATTACCCTTTAGTAGCGTAAAAAATGCAATATGAGAAATGATTGAACCAAATATTAAACTTCCTTAAGTTTGTTTTGTTTAAAGCGCCAGCTACCTTGTAAAAATGGAAATAATTTTTCAATGAGATTTACATTGTCATTGCTATAAATATATATCGTAGTTTCAGTTCGCATATGAGATCGATTAAATGAAAATCTTTTTTTCTTAGCTTAATTTTGTTATAGCATATATATAGTATATGAAATAATGATTAAATACAATATGAAGCAAGTCCGCGCTATAGAAAATTTTATAACATACAAACCCTCATTAACTATTATTGTTATTATAATGGCAGGCTACATTGCTTTAACATACAACAAAATAATTTTTTTTTTTTGCCGAATGTATTCGTAAATAACGCGTATGTTTATGTGATGTTTTTATTTACTTTTACGTAATTGTCCGTTGTTGGACAATTTCATATGAAATTATAGACCGATATATTTACATTCGAGTTTCAGCTTATGTTCATTGTTGTGCATTTCAGACTTCTAAAACCATACATTAAAGGTCAGTAAGAGTAGTAGTGGCTATAGTATATTTAAAATATAATAAAATTAAAAAAAATAAATAAAAAAAAAATATTAAAAAAATGAAAATATGAGATAGTTAAGTGATCGGCTAAAATTTCGTTATGATGTGTATTAAAAGAAATTAAAAAATACGTCGGTTCGGTTTCTCGGTTAATTCGTGCGCGATAAATATTTTGCTTAAAAAATAATGAAATCTTTCCTGTATATGTTGAAGGTAAATGAATTCATATAAAATATATATTAAAATATTTTGTAATATACTTTGTTATTGTAACGTTTAAAAATCTTCTTTAACTGGCCAACTTCGTAATAAGTTAACTAACCTCTTATTATATCCCACACCATTTGCATACTATACTGAATATGTGCGGATGTATGCAGATTGGACCACTCTTTCGACCACTTGTCCTCATTAGATTGTTATAGGATGGCGTATGATATTAAATGGTGGACTGTGAGCCACTATAATGACGAGTGTAGATATAAATGAAATTATCAGATTTTGTGAATCGTGGAGATTCTCTCTGTTATGAAAGGCTTCATTGTTAGACCTAATCAAAATATTACGCTCTTCAAGCTTTCTCCAAACATTGTAAAATGCACTTTATTGTGCCATATTTAATGGAAGCGTACATCGGAGACTTCATTAAGTACATATATTCCTACAGGATGGTCTGTTTCATAAAGGATGTGGATAGGTTCGTTCCATAAAGGATATATATGTAAAAAATTGCGTATTTTAATCAATTACGAAAATTTCATAAATGGAACGTAACTGAGTTGACCTTTTGGCTGCTTTGAGCTGCAGCTGACTTTTTTCAAGTACATGCTAAATTTCTGAATTTCGTTCATAACAAACATAAATACTTGCAAATATATGTTTGCAAATATATGTTTGCAAATTTTGATATTTACTCCTTATATTGTTTGGTTATACTTCGCACTTTATTGCTTCAATAAAACAGCGACCATAAAAGGGTGCTGGTATGGGTACTGCGCGTGGATAGAAATACGGTTGGGCTTGGGATGCAGACGACCAAAGAGTAAACTAATGGTTTTTTGATGTCTTCGTACATAACAACTTCAAAGGTAATAAAGTCTTGATACATAACGCTTAAAAATATTACATAATTGTTCCGCTTTGTTATAAAACCCATGTGACGAAATATTGGTCGACACAATATCTCAATACCTCAGATTTCACACGTAAATGACATACCTTGGAAAAATATATTGTTTATCAAAGAAAATACGCAAACAGTAAATTCTGTTTCTAAAAATTGTTGTTTTTTTTTTTACTTTATATAATTTTATTTACTACATATGTTTAACTTTCATTTTTATTATATTTATAGCATAATACGTTAACTATTTTAAATGTTATTAAAAATTCATTAAAATCCTTGCCTGACGCCAACACAATCTATTCTAGAAATTTTCTTACTTATTTTTATGGATTAATTCTATACAGTAATAGAATAATAAACTAGCTGTAGAAACGTTTAGATATAACGCCTATGGGATGGTTTTGAAAAACGATTGCAAAAGGGAGCAGCGACCACATACAACAAATCGCTAGTCTAATATGTATTTTCTGGAATTATTTTCTCTTCGTAGAAAGTTCCATATTAGACTCGCAAGAGTTGTTTCCTTCAAAAAAAAAAAAAAAATAAAAAAAAATATTCTTTCATGAATTTCAAAATCTAAATAAACAAATAAAAAATTCAAACAATTTATATAAATATTAACAAACAATAAGTGTGAGGAAAAGTTCTGTCGGTTCTCTTTCGCTGCATATATTGCCAGTAAATCTTTGAAAAACTGTAATTTGCTGATAGCGTGGAACTTATTTGAATGGTTGGAAAAGATGGCATTAGCAACTCGGTTTACTCTAACCTAATGTTGTTTAATTCAGATCACCTTGATTGAGATAAGCGAGATTAGAGGAATTGTGGGCTCTCGGCCCTTTGTAAGACCAATTCAGATAAAATGGTTATTAAATTTTAGATAAGAAAAAGAAAACCAACAGAACCTCCCCTCGAATTAGGTTGGATTTATATACTCGGGGTAGATTGGAAATGGAAAATAGGCTATTTTGGCGCTATAGTTATATATTCAAACTACGTGGTCCCATGCGTGGTATACTGCGTGGACCACTTAACATGGCTTTGGTAGGTTCTTGACGAGCTTGATGATACTCTTGAGCTGGCTGATCTTCGACATCGTGTTCATCTTCAGCATCGCCGAATAGTAAGGCAGCTAAACTTGTTTCTAATTTAGATTTTTTCGTTTTTTGCGTACTACTAATAACTGGTGCTACTGTTGTTTTATTCGACATTTTTAATTTTTCTTGCTCAAAGTCTGTGCTATTTGTAATCGATTTAACGGTATTGTTAACTGACGACAAAGCAGATTCTGGCACGATTTTAGTTGGTTTTTCCATTCGACTTGCCAAAGCCAAAGGCATTTTATTTGCTTCATGTTCCCGTAAATTTTTTAATTCATTCTCTTCGTTGTCAAATTTGTAGCCTGGTGGATAAATAGGCTTAAATCCTCCTTGCAATTCCGGTTGGAATTTGTCTATTTCAAAAGTTTTCGAATTTTCAACATCGCCAGCACTAGTCGAAAGATTTTTCACGTTATCAGAACGATCAATGCGGTTCTTTTCGTATAAATTATGTTCAACGGATGAGGTCAAGATATTCCAGCCGCTTGAAGGAACTCTCGTAGCTAAGCCCAGACTAAGGCTAGGATAAAATGGAGCCATGAAATTCTTTTCATAGTTCTGAGCTCTCAAATCAAAGTCGTGACTATTTAGCGGCTGCTCAGTTTGAGTATTCGGTCGTAATTCCTTGATGCCCGGTGTCGCCAGATTAACATCCGAGTAAGAAACAGTTGGATATTTCGTTTTAATTCTTTCGCTTGAAACAGTGGGTGTATACGCTATGGCGATGGGCGCTTCAGTTCCACTACTATATGCCGAATTAATGATTTTAGGTGATATGAAAGACTCTGACGGCTCGACCAAATTGATTTCAGGTTTCTCGATCGGATAAGGAAACAGATCGTTTTTAGTATTTGATTTTAGTTTATTTTCTTGTTGAAGCGATTGAGGCTTTTTATTTTTCAATACGGGTTCTTGCTGGCGATCCCTAAGCACCGAAAATGGAGTGTTTTGGTATTCACTATTAGTGGACATCTCAATGCGAGCTAACGTTGGCAAAGCATTTTTATTCTCAGATATTTCTAATGGGTCTTTCTGATTGTAGCCGTTATTATCAACGCCTTTCAACGGAAGCACCACGTAAATATTGTTTGACGATTGCGATAAATTGTCGGGCACATCTTCGCTTAAAGAATCTAACCTGGATACTTGAAGCTCTGCTTTACCGCTATTATCGACAGCGGGCAATAAGAATGGCTTACTGTGAGACTGCAACATCTGCAATGTCACAACTGTTTCTAATTTGGCTTCGTTAAGGTTGCTGAGCTCTTTGCTGGGCGTTACTGGTGGATCGTTAATAACTAGATCCTCTTCTTCGAAAGCCGGTAACTTTTCTAAGGCTGGTGCTAAAGCATGACGTTCTATATTGTAATGCTCCATAGGTCTTAAATTATGAGACACAGGTCGCCTAGGTGGCATACGATCCATATGTCCATAAGGTGACAATCTGTAGATACGACGATTATCATTAGGTGCTAGTAGCGGTGGACCAGCTGCGAAATCGATTCCTCTGTTTATAGGATAACGTAAAGGTTGGCGTCTACGTGAAAATTGTGGATTACTCGGGCTTAGCATACGTTTCGGCGGGATCGGTCCGGTTACTCGTATATTTCCTGGTTCCTTATTAAAATTATTAGGGGTGTGGCCACTTGAAACTTTTGCATTCGGTCGAAATTGTGGTAGTATGTTCGGTAAATGACGATCAGGATTTGGTCGCGTTATGCCGGGCACCGGTTTACGGGTGTAATCGCTATACGTGTATTGACCGGGGCCGTAAGGCTGATGTGGTTTTTCGGAAATATTATTTGAGATTGGCGGCGGAAAGCGCGGTGGGGGGATCATGTGTTGTGCGGGCGTGTTCCGTTCTGTGGCGGTCGGGAAACTCTGGAATTGAATTATAGTTGAAATGAAATCTATCCATATTTCAATTTATTCACATACTTACCAACTTTTGTTGATGTTGATTCATTGTTAAGACTTCGTGTTTCTGGATCTGTATATCGTCAGCCATGGTCTGCGAAGTATGATAATTCATCTCGTTCAGTTGTAGTTTAGTTTCGGTATCAGTTTTCGGGAATACAACCGGATTGGAACTTTGTATTTGCTGTAAACTGAGGGGTTGGGCATGGCCGTTAATCTGAAAGCCAGACGGTGGACCTCCGGTTGGTACTGAAGGTACCTCGTCCACCTGACCATCCATGGCTGGGAAACGAATATTGGTAGAGACCAGAAGTTCTTGCGTATTTTGATTTGAACCTAATGTAATGCTGTCACTGTTATCTAGAGGATTAACCGACTGCATCGAACCCATCGAAGGTAATTTTTCCGAGGGCGATAATGGTTTTAATGCTGGTTTTTTCCTATTATTCGATCCAACCAAAGGTAACTGTTGATATGGTGAGGGCGGAATAGGCGGCGCTTCTGGATTATTATTATTCATTAAATGTGATTTAGTAACGCTTTCACTGCCTTTATAGACGTCACTTTGATAGTAATTGGAATTTTGTGAACTAATGGACATGTCCTGATAAGAAGATGAAACGGCTGCTGGTGATGGTTCCCTCTTTAAGGTGCTAATATCTTCATTAATAACGGTACCATATTGCACTGGTGGATTGTTAACGTAAGGCTTTTCTTTTTCAACGCTACCGAATGCATTCGTACCCACTTGTTGTTGACTGCCTAAAACAAAGGAAGCCGATTGCTGACCGGGCGATATTACTACATTGTTTATGGCTGCCGGTACTGGACGATATTGCATAATATTAGGTTGTTGCACTTGATACGAGACATATTCATTGTTGAAACTATTGTTCTTATTAGTAGCTGCGCCCAACTGTGAGTTTTGCAGCGATGAAGGTTTCAATGTATTTGCAAATGTCGCAAAAGCTGTTGTTGGGGCATACGTTGCTTTGTTCGATTCGACGGCTTCATGCATTGTAAAAGGCGCTGGTTTTGAAGGAATTAAAGGTCCCATTAAGTTGCCCTGAGCGTCAAAGCCTTGATTGCTCGGATTGTTAGCTAAAAGAGCTGATTCTTCGTCCGCCAAATTGTTAAAGATATCCGCCAGCGTCATCGAGGGTTTTTGTTCGAAATTATTTTCAGTATTCTTTTGTTCCAGAGTATAATAAATATCGGCAGGATCGAGTTGGGTTATGCGAGTGCCTTGCGGAATTGGACTGAAGGCTGGTGGCTTATTTGGATCTTCAGTGAAGAGTATAGGTTTACTGCTTGTGCTGGGCTTGGCGGTCGTGGTAGTAAAATAGGTTAAGGTACTAGAAGGACTCTGAGTAAGATAAATATCCGCCGAAGGAGTTACAACTAAACGAGAATTTGACGGTGTCGTTGGTTTTGGAGATGTTACTGTTGTGCTAGTTGCCTTTTGCTTGGGCATATTAGTGGAGGTAGCAGCTGTAGTAGTGGCAGTAGTAGTAGTAGTAGTAGTTGAATACTTTTTGACTGGAATAAATTTTCTTCGCGTAGTGCTCGTCTTAGATTCAGCGGGTGTTGTGGTATAATAGGAGGATAACTGTGGTTTTTTGGTGCTCATAATATGTTTGGTGGATGACGATGACGTAGGTCTTTTCGCGGTAGCGTTAATTGAAGAACTGGAATTTGTGCTCTTGATGTTGAACGGTTTTGCGGCTAAAGAATTTATAGGTTTCTTCATAGTATTATTTAAAGGCTTATTACTGTTGTTATCCGATACTTTAATCATAGTAGCTGGCACAGGTTTCAATTTTGTCGTGGGCACAGTAAAATGATTGACTGTTTGATCATTGGGCAGTGATGTGACCTGAGCTACTTGCGTTGGCTTTTTATTGGTTATAAAATTCTTGTTACTACCTTGATATTTAAGATTAGCATAAGAACTTGATACCAGGGGATAAACAAATTTCGACGATGAATACTTGACTGGTAAATTAAGAAAATCATGTATATTCGGCGAAGAACTGGTAAGTATTACTTTCTCATTCGGATTAAGAACTTCATTGGCAGTGGGTTCTATGCCAGCTGGTTTCTTTGCATTGAAATCCAACTGACCGGAAATTGGATCTTTGCTGGCATAATAAGGTTTACCATCATTAAATATTTGATTAGGTAATACATAGCTACCGGATATAATCGGTTCATCGTCTTCTTCCGATTCTAAAGAACTATTACGTGTCTCCGCTGGTATCTGAGCTGGCGAAAGAACAGCTCGAGTGCAACCGATGCACACTAATGCGACTATGAAAAGCCTTAATGTCAAATTAGACATGACGAAGTGTGTTGTGTACCTTAAAGTGGAGAATATATGCAGTTAGGGTACAATAATAAATAAGAAGTTTATATATTTATATATATTTGTACATATACATAAATATATATATAGAAATTTACAGCATTATCATACTTCATTGTAAAATACTTAATAATTACTTAAGACAAATTATATTTCAATATCTATTAAGATACGATTATAACTCTATTTCAACACTTGTTTAGCGCATTCGAACCATTTCGTAAAGAGATACTTTACTAACACAGCAGGTGGTTTAGTACCAAATACGGTAAATACTGCTTAAGCTGGTAAGTGGTTTAAATGATTTTTGTTTTCATTAAACGCCTAAACACAAACACACGCACGTAAACCTATAAATAAATATTCACTACAATATAAATAATTGTGTGAAAAATAAAAGTGTTATCAAGAAGTCTTTCTCTTCATTTCATTCATATATATATATATACGAGTATTATACTTCAGATCAATGTTGCACTATTTTATTGTGCTTTAACCATATATATAAAATCGTAATATATATATGAATCGCAGCAGCATATGTCGCATTCGTGTATATGTGCTATTCGTTAAACAGTGATCAACAAGTGATGTTGATCGGTAACATTGCGTTCAATATGGCAGCTGTTTAACCAGCTTTCCTTGTGATTTAATCACAGTTTAATTACTGATTAATGAAATCTGAATCAAGTGCAGCAAGGCATTAAAAATGTTAAGATTATAAATATAATTTAAATGAAATGAATTTGAATTGATTTTCAATATTTCAAAAATATTGATTATCATCAATAATCTCTCTTGCTATGAAAAAAAAAAACACAACACTTTGATCTCTATATACAATTCTTAGACAAATCTTTCTCTCTCTGATTTCTTTGATGTAAAAAAACACACACTACAACTAGTTAAGGATAATCGTGTAAAACTCTTGAGCAGGAGCACCGTACACTATAACAATCGATGCATCTGCCGATTATGAGTGAATCGTCATATTTGCTATAGGTTGTCAGTTATGAGCAAAAGATGCAATTTATGTTTGACTGTAAGTCAAACATCCTTACATAAGAGAAGATAGCAATATTATTAGTCACTCAGAAGAACGAAGAAAGTCTCGGATTGAATTTAAAACTTCTCGATATTAGGTTAATTACCTGTGAGTAAATAGGGAAACCATACGAGTCTTGTCGAGGATATTGGATAATATGGATACAAATTGTTTTTCATAGCTGCTATTAGAAGTGGATTAGAGTTGATAAACGTTTCCGAAACTTGGTAAAATTTGTTCCTTAACCCGAACAATGGAATCGGGTTGGCCATATACGTCCGTTATTTGTCCGTTTGCCCTTCAATATCTGTGCGTGGAAGTCGTTTCGTCTGCCACTTTATTTGCCTGTTAATCTATCTATCTATTGGTAGGTTTGCCTATTTGTCTATCCGTTTACCTGTCAGTTCCAAAACTTTTTCCACAAGGTCAAACTTGATCAAAAATTTGTCTTACCTCTTTTCCTCTCTCCGTAGGTTGATTTCGAAAATCAGAGAAATCGCTAGTCCGCTCACAAAGAGCAGAACACTGATAATTTTCCGCTTTTTCTTAAATGATGGCCATCTCTTGCATGCTACGCAAACTAAATTCTAGGTTAGATCTACAGGGACTTTTTTAACAATAGCGAACTCAATTGATCCACCGCTGGTAAGAATGTGATTGCTATTACAACAAATATCTAGGCGTATTACGCCCATTAGATGGTAAACAATTAGTAAGCTTAGGAAGCTTATAGACAATCGAGCAAGCAGGGTATCTTTTTTTTTTGCCATGCGAGCTGGAGATAGAAATCTGCGAAAGATACGCGTACCAGCAGGATACATTATTCGTCGTTCTGGAGCCCACCTAGTAAAACTATCTTACAAACACAAATATTATTTCGATCATTCTCCTCCTCCGCGCCAAGTATTATTCCACGGAGACTTCTCGCAGTTACTGTGCCTCAAGTGGGCACAATAGTTCCTCTTTTCTCCACCCCTTGCCTCTCTAAGCGCCTTCAATCATGCAGCAGGCTTCTAGATGGTCCTCTAGGTTGCTGATTTCTCGTCACCAAGTCCACGTAGTTAACTTCGAGAGCAGCCAAGATCAGAAACTTTGCGAGATAATAATTTATCTTCCCCTGGGGTCTGTTTATCCACAACGATAAGTTTGGGATGAGGGAGAACGGTCATCTACCTTTCGACGTTCTTCCCATCACACTCGCCATCGATTCACTAACGTCAGACTGCCCTCCTTTTTAAGCGGGGTCGCTTGCATGTAATCTGCCCTATTGTCTCTTTGAGACCCCGTAACTTCATATCTCAGTAAAGTGTAAGTAGGAGAATGCAATTCAGTATACTATGATTTTCTATAGATTGACAAAAGAAATATTCACGTCATGCTAAGATTGATTAAAGCTATTGGAAAAGGGGCAAGGGATTTGATTTGAACGCGCGCGGCATTGCAAAGCTAAAAAATAAATCATATTATTGTGTATAAAATTAATTTCTATTGAAATTTGTTTGTTTCACTAGCTTTTGTGTTGTAATGATTGATTGACAATGAACAATATAATATGTACAACACAACAATAGTTGTAACAGTAGTGACAACAGTTCGTCATCAAGCAATGACATAAAAACCACACCATACCACACCACACCACACCACACCACATGACACTATCGGGTTTATATAAAACGAAATCAAAGTCAATGTTAATCGCATCTCAAATTTTTTGCTTTTCACATTGTTTTCGGAATGTTGATCGTATCAAATTTTTGGACATTTTGACAGTTCAACAAGTGTATATATTGGATTAAACAAAAACAAAAAAACAAATAAATAAAGGAAGAGAAAAGAAAAGAAAAGAAAAAAAAAAAAGTTAAATTTTAACATCGAAAATTTTTCGTTTTTAAATGTTTTCTGTGAAATGATTTCAAACAATTTGAAGCGATTTGCAATTTTCATCAACACATCAAAGCATGCTGCATGCATATGATGCACATAGATGGTGATGATGAGCGCAAGTGTTGCAACAGATGTTTCAGTTACTTTTCTAAGCATGCATTACATGCAGGAAATGCTTATGCATTTAAATCTTGACTGTCTCTTCGATGTGAATGCATTTATCATTCATCATTTAACGTTTCGAACGATCGAAATCGAAATCTGCATAATGATGTTAATGAAAGTGAATATTTGTTTTGAAAGTGAATGCATTATGCGCGCACATATATTATACGCTTACTCATGACTTCAGATAATTTCTTTCTTTTCATTTTCTTACTAAATATCTTTATTAAAATATTAAAGATACCTGTGTATACGAAAGTGGAAATGATTGGCAATTGATTTCTTTGATTAATTACATCAAATGACCATAGGCTTGGCTTATTCGAAAGCTTCTTATAAATTATGCATAATTTTAATATTGTGTTTACTCATTTACACCAACATTTAGATACATTCATCGCCCAAAGGATAAAGTGTACATTGACTTTGTCAAAGCGAAAGCTCGAAAGACGCCATGAAATATATATATATATATATATATATATATATATTCTTGATCAGCATTGAAGGCCTCTCTGGCTGCCTGTCTGTCTGTCTGTCCGTTTAATGTCTGCTGTAAACATTCTTCTGATCGCAAAAATAAAGCTATCAGTTTCAAATTCGGCAGAAACATTGGAAGCTCTTGCATGCAGGATGGGATTGGAAATGGGACAAATCGGCCCAGAGACACGACCACAGTACAACATAATCGAAGCCCACTTCTCTCTGTTTTCAAAAAATAAAACAAAATTCTTTTCTTTTGCTCTTTACTTAATACACCACATACAATAAGTATAGCGATAAAAATTTACATGGGTATGGATAGCTCTGCAGTATATGTAGAAAAATAGCCACTACTACATACAAACAGTTATGTGATTTTCTTTTTTACTTTTGTAATATTTTCTGCTTCTTATTACTCACTCATAGGATGTTGGAAATTATTCTGTTCATTCCTCTTATGAAAATATTTTATTTGGAGAAAAATGTCTTCACTCTGGAGTCAGCAAGGTGTAGGATTTGTTTTTTCTTAGCAGTATAATCAACTGGGTGGCAAATAGAGGGACTTGGAGATTAGAATATGACAAAGCCAAGTGCGTTAGTTTTAAATTAAATATGGCGGACAACACGGCAGTATACGACGGATAGTTGTGATGTGTATGAAAGATACGGCTAGTGCCGAATACAGTTTTCCTATTTGTTTTTATTTATTTGTATCTCTGTATACATTTGGAAAAGATATCTCTCAAGCAGAAATAGGACAGAAATTTGCAAAAGGAAAGCCAACTTCGCCTTTCTTACAACAATCGAAATAGCTTCCGGGTTTTTTCAATTTAATTGACTTTATGGAATCTCTCTGGATGGTGGCAAACAGTTGATTGTAATGTAATCAAGATGTCTACTATGTCTCATGTTGATTTTACGGCAACATTGCTTTTGAAAGATTGCTTTCAAGATTGGTGCGGGACTTAAAGTGGTGCTTCCAGGATGAAATTCCCAACCTTCATCGCATATGGTACATATTTTTTAACCGTTGTCCTAGCACTATTGTCCTGTATGCATTCTTCTCCACCCCATTTTAGGTGTTTTGAACAAGCGTTTAATTTATTACACAAAACTTGTTGTCAGTTGTCAGAAGACTAAGCCTCTTTACCTATTTAGAGAAAGCAAAAACTAATTTCTCCCGGTTCTTTACACCTGTATCGGGAATTACTCGATCTATATAACATAAATAATTTTAATCCCAATCTTAATATTCCTATAACTACAGTCGATTTAAAAAATTAGGGCGCAGCGCCTTGATCGCCCTATCAATTTGTACGTGATTTCTTCGGTCCTCCAATACATTTATGTGAAGCAGATAGAGATGCAGAAAATCTAGACGTAAGGTAACAACGCAAAAGATCTGGAAATAATTG